CCCTAGTTGGCCCGACCCTGGACCCAAGAAAAAAAATTAATGACATGCTCCACGTATAAAGGAGCCTAGTCGATCTCCGACGTGGATCATATAGGCCCCATACGAGATTGATGTTATAATTCATTGGGATCTTGTGCACATAGTGCTTGCAAGTGTGGCTTGGATTCGCACGTAAACCACTAGGCCCAAGGCTCGTGACCACGGGGGAAACTTGGAGCGTGAATGATAATCATTCTGTTCTAGATATCAATTTATGACCATACGAGATTGATGTTATAATTCATTGGGATCTTGTGCACATACTGCATGCAAGTGTGGCTTGGATTCGCACATAAACCACTGGGCCCAAGGCTTGGCGACCACAGGGGAAACTTGGAGCGCAAATGATAATCATTTTGTTCTGGATATCAATTTTCTGGTTATGTCTATTCTATGGACAAGTTTTTGAGCCAAAATACGCATTTAATAATGACGCAAAATTTTTGTTCTTGAAAAAGAAATTCGTTTGATAACAATACATAATTTCTCTCTCTCGAGTGGCTAGTGGGAGGGCGGCGGTCGGCGATGAGAGGCGGCCAGCAGCGAAGGACGGCGATCGGTGGGCGGCGGCTGGCGGCGGGAGGCGGCCAACGTTGAGCCGCAGTGGAGGACGACAAGAGGCGGCGGACAGTGGGAGGTGACTGGCATTGGGCGGCGGCAGATGGTGGGAAGCGACTGGGGTCGAGCGGCGGTGGAGGACGGCAACGGGAGGCAGCCGATAGGCGGTGGCGGAGGATGGTTGCGGGAGGCAACTGGTGAGCGGCGGCCGACTTTGAGTCGCAGCAAAGGATGGCAGACGGCGATTGGCAGAGGACGGCAGTGGCCGACGTGGGAGGCCGCGGAGGATGGCAAACGGCGGGCGACGGTGACGAGAAGTGGCCGCCGGCGGGTGGCGATGGACAATGGTGGATGGTAGCTGGAGGCAACTGGCGGTGATGGCAGGCAGCGAGTGGGCAGGCAGCTAATAATGAGGACGAGCAATGAGAAATTTTTTTATTGCTCATTTCTGTTCCAAAAAAAGAAAAATAGAAAATTTTTACTAATTATTTCTATTCCAAACCTATTTCTGGAGTAGAAATTTGTTTCAAAAATAAAAAAATGAAATTGCATTACGAAATGAATTTTTGTTCCAAACATGTTCACGGGAATAGAAAAAAAAAAGAATGATTATCATGCATGCCCTTGGTGTTAATGACATAAGAGACTCGTAACGCTCTCTTAGAACTGTCAAATGGGTGGGTCGAGTCGGGTTTGGGTTGGATCGAAAATGGTCTAATCCAAATAGATCCATTTAATCCGTTTTGACCCATTTTCATGTAATATAAAAATAAGAGTGTAGAGTGAGTGAATGCGAGGTTGAGTGAGAGCAAGGGAGATGAGTTAAGTTTAAATAAGTTGTAAACCCATTTATGATCAATTTAACACTTATATTATTCTTATACCAATTTATAACTCATTTATTAAATATAACTAATTCATTTATGACTTTATTGATATATGGGTTAATAAATAGGTTTATGACTTATTTTGACAAGTCTACGCTCTCTCGGTGCCGGAATACTTCAAGTCGTCTCGAAGCCTTCCAACGAACAAGAGAAGATGCCAGAGAAAAGTCCCGGGTCTCATGCTTTCAACAACTCATCGGCCACAAGAATGTGTGATGCCGCATTATTCTGTGAACTAATTTGTGCATGGCCTCGGCGACCACTCTCCACCCTCGTTGGACCGAGTTGTTACAGGGTTTGTGATATCATGACACAACAAATTTGCATTTACTTAACACGTATTATGGAGTCCATTAACTTTTATGATGGGATTTAAACAATTTATTAAAGTTATGTCTAAGATGGCCTTAGAATTCTAAACTCATACAAAAGAAAAATAGCAAAGAAAAATTTTGTGCAGCTCTATTTATTTTTTATTTTTTCGAAGCCATCAAGGTATAAGATTTTCAACCAAAAAAAGAGAATACCAGAAAAGGAAAAAAAAGAAAAGAAAGGAAAAAAAAAGGAAAGGAAAAAAAAGGTAAAATAATTTAAAATTAAAATTATTTTTGGACGAAAATGCCCTTGACCTTGCCGGTCGCCGGCCGGAATATTTCGCTGTCCAGTGACCGGCGAAGTCAGGCCCTTATTTGAAACTCTCATTGCCACTTTAGATCCTTATTTGAGACTGACATGCAACTTCATGCCATTATTTGACACAAAGTCCACTTCATGCCCTTATTTGAGAAACTAAGGGCGCTTGGCATTTTCCCAAAAAAGGGTATAAGATCACAAATGAATCAATGTTCTACAAGACCAAAAAATCAAAGACCTTTTGATCATGTTCATTTTACAATTCCTCAAAATGGAAGATTTTAAATTCAATTGGAGTATTGATACCAGATAAATTAATGTATGACACGGAATTCGAACAAATAAAACGTTTCGTACTTCTAAGTATCTAAATTGCGATTGTTCTTTCTTTTTGTTCTTTCCTAGTTTTCATTGCGGCCAACTTTTTCTGTAGAAAAAAATTTAGGACATAGATCGTGGAATTTGCCAGCCAGAAATATCCCATTGAACGAGATTCTCTATTTCCTGAGAAAACCGGGCAAACAAGTCTCCCGGTTTCCTGAGGAAATCAGAACAAATAAATCGTCGTTAGTATGGGAGTAGTAACAGTGCTGTCATATTCTCAATTGAGAGACGCTATGGCAAGCAACCGGGACAAACTTTTGAGCAATAGTCGAAAATAGCACTCTTGTTACTAATTACATACAAAAGATCAAACTTTACACAAAGAGTAGCTTTAAGAAAAATTATAGCTAGGTTCCCTTCCCTGTGCTTCACACATATTCATCTTCGTAATCTCTTTTTTGCACGACAAATTGAAATACAGGCCAATCTTTGAGTTTCCATCTTTCTTCTTTTTCTTTTGTTAGTCCTTACATAATCGGCACAAATTGGCATGGTATCTTAAATTAATTTGAACCCGATATGATATGCATACTGTATCAAAAGAAAAACACGTTCCTTGGAAAAGTTATTTGTTTGATTTCATTTTTTGAAATAATAAGATGGGCCTGGGGACTGGTGCAAGTACCCTTTATGGGGGTTACTATAAGTATCCTGCATCAGTAATATTCAATTTAACTGGTAAACATCAACCACTAGGATTATGAAGGTTCAATATGAGTCGTAAATATCATCAACTATAATTCGTGTATAGACCGGTTGATCCTTTTATGAAATGAACCCACTTAAGTTTGACACAAACACATTTGCTATTATCGTGTAAATAGGTCATGTTGAAAATTGCCAGCCCTAGTCAATTCAAAGTTATTTCTGGTGCCACGGGGAGCAAACATTTGTTTTCGTGAAATTTCTCATTAATAAACTTTTAAGTTAATTAATAATTATATGAAATAAACTTACCTGGTGATTTTTTTTTGGTGTGCTTCAAAAAAATTGTTTAAAAAGAAAAAAACAACTGAAAGTTCCTTTTGCGATAGTCGATTTTTCATGAAGATTCGTGAGACCCATTTTATTATTTTACTCTTTGACAAAAGCTCCCCAATCAAGTTTCTTTGTAACCAATTTAAAGACTAAATGTGCAGAACAGGCCATCATTGACGGTAATGCCGGAATTTTCCATTGACAAATATTGTATACTCTCCGTGTAGACTCCACATGTACCCATAACCATATTTACGGTGAGATTAAGTTGTATTAAAATCATAAAAAAAATAAGCTTGCAATAATCTCAAGAATTTTCTAATAATATATGGCATATTTGGTTAAATGAGATCAGCATCCAAAAGTACATTTGTAATTGTGCGTTGGGTATGCTGATTTTGACATCAAGGGCTTAATATGGATAAACAGTTGACTTGCTGTAAGAGTTATTATAATTGGCAACACATATGGTAATAATAATTTTCATCATAAAATTTGTTCTTCTATGTGCCAACAGATGACTAGAGCTACCAGAGTCCCCAGTACGTTTTCTGTCCTCTTATTATTCTTTGGCTGGATAGTGCAACTAGTGGATCAAAACTTTTTCAACAGGTCTGTAATTTTTTTTTTTCGATTGGGTACTTTAGGTACATGTTTCTTTATATTTATTGGCCCATCAAATGAAGATACTAAATCGATAACATGGCATTAAGTTGTAGATAATTGCCGTTCTAGCATCAGATGTGGTATTGGACGTGGCGATGATAGTGACCATCACTCAAATTCTATATGTGCGCGCGCGTGATAGATCTAAGTGAAGCCTCTGGAAACGTGAGGACTATGGAAAGGCCACGTGCAGAAGGTGTTTCCATCATCCATCAAAGGCCATTATTGTGACTTCAGCTTCAAAATAATACCGTGGTATGTAAGGAAGCCATAGAAATAGAGAGACGCGAAGGTAAACTACAAGAAAGCCTAGTAGAAAATAAGCATCTAGCTGAAGCACGGTGCACACCTAAGATGCCTTTTTCTATTCATGAGTAATCATATCATGTTTGGAATATATGGTATTTTTTGAGTTCTGAATCGGTTTATCTTTCCCACTCTCACTCCCGATTTAACATCCAAACTGAAATTAGATTAAATGAACTACAAATAAAGAGAAAGTAAATTAAATTGAGATTTTATTTTTTCAAATTAAGATCGAATTTATATTTAAAAAAAAAAGGAAGCAATAGTGAAAGTAGATACTTTTTCTGACCCAATTATTATCTTGTTGGCCAACAGTTCTATTCTTTGTCTGGATATGGATATTATATTAGGATTAAATGCAATATATTGAGGGAAAAGTAAAGACAGGAAGTAAAGGGAGATTTTTACTTGCCACAGAAGTGAACTGGGATTATATTAAGGGAAAAATAAGATAAAAGGAGCGAGTAGATTTTTTTGTCTGACCTATTATTATTATATGTAAGGAAAACAAGACAAAGAAGAAAAGATAAAGGGAAAGAGAGATTATGATAACGTCAAAATGGCCATATGCCAGCCTTCTAAAAGTCTACTTCAGTGCATAGCTATATACATATATTATATAGATTGTGACACTTAAACTTACACGAGTGCGCTGGCACAACTATAAGTCCAAAGCAAATGCCAAACATAATATATATTCTGAATGCACAATCGACCCTAGAAGTCTTTATGGACAGTTAATAGACATGTTGCTATGGTAATAAGGATCAGATGCAAGAACCTGCTGTATCCATTCCCTGATCAGAAAACAGAGCTTAACGTCCTATGTTGGCTCATCTCGCACGTAATTGAAGTCGAATGGGAGGGGAGGTTTTCTTTATTCATTTCGCAATCGATCTCTTCGTTGTTTTCTTCAACTGTTGAGCTGTCGAGCTCGCGGTCAATCTTGGCGAGTTGCTCAGCCACTTCCTTCATTGCCGGCCTTCTTGCACCACTTTGGTCCAAGCACCTCACTGCAATCTCGGCAACCATTTTTACTCTCTCCATTTCATCTTCACTAGCGGCCTTGAAGTTTATGACATCAGAGAGTCTCTTATCCTTCACGGAAGAGATGAAATAATGGATAATATTGATTGACTCTCCGGACCTAGTAATGAAACTTGTGGGCTTCTTTCCCGTGAGCAACTCCACGAGGATAGCTCCAAAGCTATATACATCACTCTTAATTGTTATCATACCGGTGATTAAATATTCCGGATCGATGTAGCCCAATGTGCCTTGTATTTCAGTGGCTACAATATTACTATGCTCTGGTGATATTAGTACTGAAGTTCCAAAATCAGACACTTTTACCGAGTAATTATGATCCAAAAGTATGTTCACTGACTTGATGTCACCGTGAATGATTGGGGGTTCTGCACAGGAATGCATATACTCAAGTGCAAGAGCAGCTTCGACGGCTATTTTGAGCCGGTTTTTCCACAATCTTAAGATGGTCGATGCATTCTGATGGATGTGTTGGAAGAGGGTACCATTCGAAATGTATTCATAAACCAGCAAGGGTATTCTAGTCTCCAAACATATGCCATGGAGCTTCACCACATTTTTGTGGTTTATTTGCATCACAATTTCAAGTTCATGCTGGAAATCCCTCTTTATTAGAGACTTGTGTACATCTTTAGGCTTCTTGACCGCGACCATGGTGTCCCCATCTACTCTCCCTCTATAGACAGAACCAAAACCGCCCTCGCCGAGCTTATTGCTATCATGATAGTTGTCGGTTGCTTTTGCCAGCTCTGTCTCCGTAAAGATTTGAACTCTGTGGTGTTTCAAGAGCTCTCCTCCATTTCGTCTGAAGTTTTTCTCTTTGCTTCTCCTCCTCCACGTGTAAAGGACAAAAGCACCAACAGCTGTGAAGAAGGCTGGAATAATCGCTGCCAAAGAATATATGTAACTAGATTAGTGATTCAAGCATGTAATTCTTATACGGTCCACATAGTTCTTAAAAGAAATTAATTTCAAATGCACAACCTGCATCTATTACCATTGATTTGGATAATTGTTCAACCTTTCAAAATATAACGACCAATTTAACGGTGATAGAAATTGTTTCTCTAACAAAAGGATTGTACGTATTATCTATCATGTAACAATCCTTATGAAAGTCCTTATTTAAAAGTTGGTGAGCGTCATTATAAACCGAATAAGTAATCAATTGAAATCAATTCAAATACCTAATACTAGCGTCGTCTATTACTCCTCCCAATGTCTTTCCTTGACTATAACGAAGAAGGTTTGTAATAAAACAAAAAAGAATGAGGGAGCATTCAACTCCCATTGTTATAGCTCTTTCCCTTTACAAATGGTACGAAAACTCAGTGAAATCTTTTAACCACTTATGCATGGACAAAGATATCGCCCAAATTTGTATTTGCCAATTAAAAACATGATTGAAGGATTTATACACTAAATATAAATGACACAAATGGTCCTTCAACTTTGGCCAAATATACAATGTTGTCCAAAAACTTTAAATTTGTTCAATGTAGTTCTCGAACTTTAGCCTAATGTGCAATGTTATCCCTTAAGTTTTAATTTGTTCAATGTAATCCCTGAACTTTTAGCATATATTTTATCCATGGACTATATAAAAATATTCAATGTTGTATCTAAGTTGTGACACCACATAAAGCAAATTAAAAATTCAAGAACGACATTTCACATTGGGCTAAAGTTCAGGACCACATTGCACATTGGACTAAAATTCAAGAACTATTTGGATCATTATCTCATACACCAACTATATATGAAAGAAAATACAATCGCTTTTTATCTACATATAAATTAGGGAAAATTCCAAATCAGTACCCAAAGTGGGGTCATTTTCTCAAAAAAGGGTCTAAAGTGGACATAGTGTCAAATAAGGGCATGAAGTGCCCAATCAGTCTAAAATAGGGGCCCGAAGTACCCAATTAGTCTCAAATAAGGGCCTGGGTTCGCTGGCTGGTCAAATGATCACCGGCCGGTGAGCACGTCACTATTCCGATCGCCGGAATAAGGATAATTTCGTCTTTTACTTTTTAAATTTTTTTTGTTTCTTTTTTTCTTTTACTATTTTTTTCTTTACCTTTTCTTTTTTTTTTTCCTCTTTTCCCTCCGCTGGCCATAGCCGAGGTTGGCGAAGGTTGCTGGCCTCAGGCAGAGGCTGCCCTCGTCGGCGTCGGGTGAGCTTCACCCTCACCCACCCAGCCCAGGCAAGGGCGGCCCTCGCCCTCCCCTGGTGAGGGCGGCCCTCGCCCAACGCCAACGAGGGCGGCCTCCGCCTGAGGCCAGCAACCTCCGTCGACCCCGGCTATGGTCGGCGGAGGGAAAAAAGGGAAAAAAAAAAGAAAAGGAAAAGAAAAAAACAGTAAAAGGAAAAAAGAAAAAAAAATTGAAAAGTAAAAGACGAAATTACCCTTATTCTGGCGATCGGAACAGTGACTCGCCGGCCGGTGAGCATTTGACCGGCCAGCGAACCAGGCCCTTACTTGAGACTAATTGAGCACTTCGGGCCCCTATTTGATACTGATTGGACACTTCAAACCTTTATTTGATACTATATCCACTTTGAATCTTTTTTTAGAAAATGACCCCAATTTAGATACTGATTTGGAATTTTCCCTATAAATTATTTCCCTTACAACAAATTTTAACCATATCGTAATGATAAGTTACCCCGCCGCCATCCCATTCTCCGAGCGGGGGCGTTGCCACGGGCTACTTTAATAGAGCCAAACAAGCTCCAACGTTCACAAATTAGTCCGTGTGGGACAATGAGAAGATGAAATACATAGAAAACAGTTGTACCGCATTGCTCGTCTATAAAGGACTTTCCAAACCTGCATCTTCTTTGAAAGCAAGGCTTGCAAGGAGAAGCAATCATTCTTATGATATTATTATTATTATTATTATTATTAGTCCGTATTTCTATAAAACTTATTAGAGTAAAATAAAAGAAATAAAAAATATATCTTTCCGTAAAATTTGTTCACGTGGCAGCGCTAATGCTGCCCCAGGCTTGTAGGTATGGATCCATTCCTTTTTTACGTAGCTTATTATCAAAACTTTGACAATTAATTATATATATGCTTAACTTCAATAACTTTAAATATGTAAGATAGATGAGGAAATGTACTTTCACACCCCGGAAGAACTAATACATCCGCTGCCAAATCTCAATTAAACCATGGATTATTATACCGTACTCTGCCAGCCTAATCTCAAATTGCACAAGCAGTGTGAGTGGGATCTGTCATGTGTCCAATAGCTACACTTCTGTTTATTCTGAAAACCTTTGTCTGTCTGTTTCTACTATTTTACTTTCTTTCTTTTTTTCTCTGTTTCTCTCTTTTAATCTCTTTTAATAGATAATAAATTCAAGATGTTGTGAACCATTCACGGGATATTACCTAAAGGGAACAATTTTTACCCAAATCCAAACTCAACCAAGACAGGCAAGTCCGAATAATAATTACCGTAAAGGGATTTGGCAAAAAAATAAACATAGTAAGCCCCAATCCAATCTATGGGAGTGATCGTTGAAGGTGAGTTGAGTTTCTTGAATTCTGGTAACCCAACTAGCTTCATCAATCTTGAAGGCCATCCTTATGCGCAAGTTCACCAACCACCGGCGTTTGGCCTTCGTGTCCATCTAGTACTTAGGGGCCATTATTACCGCAGCAACTCACAGGAGAAGAAAGAAATTCTCGAAATTTATACCATTATTAGGGCTTTTTTCCTCTTGAAATTAGAAGCTTTAGTTGTTCGTTTTGGCCCAAGATTTGTAGGTTTGGTTGAACATCACAGCCTCTCTCCAGATTTTTCACAGCTGCACTTCTTGAAGTTTTTGTTTCTTTAGTCAATTTTCCTTGTTGCTCACGTAGCCACAATAGTTGAAGAACGAAGTTGTCCAAAATAATAAGTCAACAATGGTGTGCTGGTTGAGTCGGTTGAACAGCCTATAAATTGGAGCAAGAACTCCTTGTGCGTGTGCGTAAGAGAGTAGCAAGAAGAAAGCATATAGTGTGGTGTAGTGTGTGGTGTTATGTTGTGAGTGGGTTCTTCATAGTGTGTAGAGTGAGTGCGTGCGCGGTGTGTGCTGTGAGTAACGTGAGGTGTGTTGTGTTGTGTGTGTGTGCCGTGAGTAAAGTAAGCGGGTGAGTGACGTGTGAGAAATGTCAGTGAGTGTGCTAGTGCGAGTGCGAGTGCGAGTGCGAGTGTAGTAAGTGTGGAGAGATTGTAATATTATTAAAAAAGAAGTGTTTATTTTATTTGGATAAGCACTTGCTTCTCAACATTGTTGGGATAGGAATTTTCACTTAGAGATGCGGTGTCCTCCCACGAATGTGGTTTCAAAGTGTTAGCTTCAGAAAAAAGTAAAAAAAAAAGACGAAAAAGGAGGTACAAGGAAAAACCAAAGGAAAGATGTAATGGGCTTGAGCCCGGGACTGAATAGGGACACGTGGCAGCCTGTGTTGCCGGGGATTACACCGACTAAGTATGGTATAATAATCCATAAAACATACGTCAAACCTACTGCAAAAATCAACAATGAATTGATAGAATATGAACCATCTAGTGAATGACGAGAGGGATATATATAGAATTACCTGGAACAACTATGACCCAAGGAGAAATGTGGCAAGTGGCTTTAGCATCGCCCAGCATTCCAAATAGGCAATGGCATGTGTAGTTCCCAACCGTGTTCTTGCACTTTCCATGACATGGGTAGCTTTTAGGATCCTTGCACTCATCGATGTCTACATTATGCAGAAGAGAAATTGAACCGTTATCTCGTGTAATGGCAAAAATAAATTGAATAAGTGTGTGCATGGATTATTAGATAGATAATGATATCCCGTTTAACTTTCGGTTAGACTACTGTGACACGTGTCCGCTTTCTCTCAAGTTATCTTTTCTTTCTCCACTCTCAGTCTCTCTCCACGTTGAATCCGAGCTCAACAATGGCGTTGTTCTTTGCCATTGACTGAGATCGACGCTGCCTTAAACTCCATATACGGACCCGTTGAGGGCACACGAGCTAGCTAGGAAAGGATCTAGCATACATAACTCGCGGAAATTGAGCTTTTGCAATAATGCATGGACCCTACGATGCAAGAGCCAAGTGAGGGGTCGTATATATGAAGGGATGTATTGAGAACCGAAATAGAACGATCACGCAGAAAATAGAGAAAATAGACGATGCACGAATTTAACTAGGTTTACCCTCGAATAGGGCTACGTCCTGCAAAGAGATTTCACTATATTTTCGGTTTACAGCCACTCAACTCGTTATAATGATCAGAAAAACGAGCAAAATATATATGTGCCCCAAACGGGCCCAAAACCTAAACCTATACGAAATCTCTTAATCTCGCACCATACGGGCTAGCTTAAATAAAGGCCCAAACCCATTGAGGTTTCGGGGGTGCTGCCCCTGAGCCCTCGCCCGCTCACCGGAGAGTGGGGCAGGCGTTCGCCGACCGGGCAGCGAAACCCCCGTCGGGGGGCGCTGCCCCCGAACCCCCGCCCGCTGACTGGGCAGCGGGGCACCCGTGTCTGGGGCACTGCCCCCGAACCCCCGCATTCAGCACGCAGGGGTCACATGTCGTCGGATAACACTTCAGTTTACCCTAAGCTCACGTGGGCGTACCCGGTGTGAGAAACAAGGGTCCCCGAAATATTCGTCAACTCCAACAATATAGTCATTGGAGACGACGACTGAGCTTAGGAATGAGGAGGTTGATCTTTACATGCTACATAAAATTATAAATATGAGCTATTATTCTCCAAGTGAGGTGGATGTGCTAATATGCATGTCTATCACTATATACAATGGACGCATCAGATTTAACCCTTTAGATGCATTACAGTACGCGCACCACGTTCAATATATGTGTATATAGGAGAGGAGGCACAAAGGTTTGAGAGAGAAGGCAAAATTGTCACTGTAACATGAGAGTAGAATTGCTAGAAATGTTGACGACGATGTTGGCAGGGTGATGGCAACGGCCTCAACTTATTCTATTAGGCAAAAAGTTGGAACCTCATGAGAAATTTTTGCTGAACCTAGATTTACTCAACCGGGTCTAGCATATTCACTGATCATGCGGGTTTTACGTGGACTCCACGGGATCAATTCTGGAGATGGCTATGAATCGAGACAAGATCCCCCAACTTTACATAAGCCTCCCGTTAAAATTATATCATGTGGTTGGACGGATCAAATAAGTGAGAAAAACGTACTTTCTGTGTCTTTCCCCTATCACCTTCCACTCAACCCAACGTCCCCTCCACAACCACTGCGGCCCAGACACGCTGCAAACGTTGCAGTCATTGTGACCATCGCATCGCCATCCCCGCCACTGTCGAGATTGATGTTCAGATGAGTTAAGGTTACGGCCCCACCACGATGCACCACTGCCTCATCTCTCTTGACGAAAGGCCGCTGCAATTTTGTCTTCTCCGTTCATGCAAGCAAATTTCTTCCCCTTCATTGCGGAGGAGATGGTACCAAGGACTTGTTACTACGGAGATGAGGTACAATTCAAGACTCGTGAAGAGAGAGAGAGACGTCGTTGCTTGTGGTGGTGGCACTTGTTGTCCTCTCTAAAGTGGAGGGGCAAAATTGTCCAAAAAAACCTATTACATTTTTACCAATTCAGTTCTAAATTTTTTAATTTTACCAATTAAGTTCTAAATCTTTTTACATTTTATCAATTGAGTCCATTCGATTAATTTTGGCCAAAAATCGTTGACGTAGCAGTCCATTCAGCACTTGCCGTCTTACGTGACACGGACCTGGGACGGCTGATGCTGACGTGAATAATTTTTAATAATTTTTTAAAGTTTTATTTATCTTTTATTTTCTTTTTTTGCCTTTTTGGTGGCGGAGGTTGTCAAGGGCCGGCAACCCTGGGTGAGGCCCACGAAGCCCTCGCCGACCGGGGCGAGGGTCGCGGTCCTCACCGGCCACAGTGAAGGTAGGAGAGGGCCACAATGTCCTCACCCTCGTCGGCCTCACCAAGGGCCCGCAACCCCTTGCCCACGGCCGGCGAGGGCTTCGCGGCCCTCACGCAGGCTTGGTTAGTGGTTGGCGGAGGCCCTGGTACGACTTTCTGTGTATATTCCGTTTGGTTTTGGTGTTCACGGAGATTGAAGGATTCTGGGCAGCCTTCCGTGAGGCTACGAGGAAGAAGACAAAAGAAAAAAAAATTAAAGAAGCAAATATTAAAATATTATTAAAAAATTCAATAAAATTAAAATTAAAATTAATAAAAAAAATCGAAAAAAATATTAAAAAATTATAAAAAATTATTCACGTCAACGCTGACTATGTCACGTAGACTAACAGTGTCCACTTTAGTAATTTCCGACAAAAATTGATCGGATAGATTCAATTGACAAAGTAAAAATGTTTATGACTCAATTAGTATAATTAAAAGGTTTATAATTGAATTGGCAAAACTACACTAGGTTTAAGACTTTTTGGATAATTTTCTCGAAGTGGAGGTGCTGTTGTTGGTGGACGAAAGGGAGTGTGTAATGAGAGAGAGAGAGAGAGAGAGAGAGAGAGAGAGAGGGGCTCTCTCTGGACATGGACATGGTGGTTGGACGGCCTGTGAAGGCCGACGGTGGGCTCACCTAAGGTGGTGGGTGATTGATGGCGGCTGTGGCAATGGCGTGAGGTGCAAGCTGAAGTGCGGAGGTAGAGAGTGAGGAGAGAGAGAGAGGAAAGGGTAGTGCAGATCAGGCGGCAAATGGGTAAACTAGGTGGAATCGGTACATAAATACGATACTTCTCTATCCCGCTCTTGGATGGGGATTAATTCATAAGTTATCCACACAATTCATTCGAGTGCAATTATGCATGAGGAGTTATATATGTTAATTACCTGTACACCCTTGGATTCGATCATAGGGATTCCCCTCGTACCCATCCTTGCAATCGCAGCGGTAACCCGCTTCATCCCCAAAGTCGTCGCATTTCGTGTTTTTGCCTTCGCCTGCACAGGCAAAGCTCAACTGGTTCAACCTGGCCTCGTCGCAAGTCCTGTTCTCTGCGATCATCCAGTCCAGATAAGCAGTCACGTTCTTTAACAAGGTGGTGTTGAGCATAGGAATACTCCTCTTGTAGGCAAGCAGCAGTTGAGCATCGTTATGTTCTTCGGGGAGGCTGACGGCCATGACCGACCCGTCGACATAGATTTTGTGTATCGTAACATTTCCCAACAGTAGTTGGTGAGTGGGGGTGCAATTGAGCACAAAATCTCTGGATCTCACACAACTGTTTTCGAGCCCGAACGGATAAGGTACTTCCACGTCCCCACAACGCGGGGGGGAGCAGGGCTTCTTCTGGGCGCCACCTTGTAGCAACCACCAGGCCACAGCCAACGTTAGAAGCCAGTGCACCACCTTCATTTCCAAAAAACTCGCTCAAACTCTCTCTCGCTATATTTGTCCGTTTGGGGACCGTTGTGCTTCTGCCCTCGAGCACAGAGTGGAAGCCAAGTGCGAGCCGCTCACACCAACCCATTATATACACATCTACAAATTGGTGAAATTAAGTACAATAATGGAGGGCGGAAGGGCAACTTGTGTCAATAAAACAAATTAGAGGGACCCAATTGCATATATCGAGAAATGATAATGAAAAAAAGAAAAACGATATACAAAGGTTCTACGCATAAAGGGTAATGCGCCCTCAGTCCTTGTCGTAATGAAAAGCACAGTCGCAGTGTCTGAAATGAATACATGATTGTGATGTTGAGAAAAGTTATAAAACTTTGCTCTATCTTGTATCTAAGAAGAAACAAGCATACATAGTAATGAAAAATTCTAAACGCATAAAGAACTCCTACTAAATTTTTTTTACTGAGCAATATGAATTCAAACAAGCGAGATCTATTTTTTAAATTTCTGGCTTGTTAGAAGCCAATAAGAAATTGCCACATCATTTACTATAAAAATTTTAGAGCGCCGCTAACATAATGGTGGCCTCTATTTTTTAACATGCCAGTCACATATATCAACCACAAGTTCCACTATAGGAGAATGGCCAACTGGCTTGAAAGGTTAATCAAACTCAAGGAGACACTAAGATAGCCCTAGAATTATTATAAGATTTAAACATTTTATTAGAGTTATGTTTAAGATGGCCTTACAATATTGAACTCGTACAAAAGGAAAATAGCAAAGAAAAATTTCGTATAGATCTTTTTTGTGGCCATCAGGGGTACGAGATCACAAATGAATCAAATTTATACAAGACCAAAAAATCAAATAGAGCTTTTGATCATATTCATTTTCACAGTTTCTCAAAATGTACGATTTTCAATTCAATGGGAAGAAACGGTTTCATACTTTTTAGCATCTAAATTGCGATTGTTTACTTTATTTTTGTTTTTTCCGTATTGTCATTGTGGCCAACTTTTTCGAAAGAAAAAAAAAAGATATATATCTCAGTGGGATAGGCCATGAAGAAATATCTTTAAGCGAGATTCTCAACTGAGAGACGCAAGCATGACGACCTCCATATTTTTTTTCACAGAATAACGGCGACCGACCTCCCACTGCATATTTCAATTCTTGAATTTGGCAACAACGACAATAATTACCAAATCGGTCATAAATCTATCGTACGGATGTCAATTCAATTCTAAACTTTTAGATTTTGGTAGCGAAGTGTTAAATATTTGTGCGAAATTCCAATGTAATAATTCCCGTCAATTATTGCCGAAAATTACTTGCGTTGTTTAAAACCTAATACTCCCTCTCAATTTTCTCATGCCTGTCATTCCTATTATTCTCATATTCTGTCATTTTTTCTGCTCATTGATTATCTAGTAGGAAATTAGCACGTGTCAATTACATATAAAATTGCTTTATAGAGAAAATTTTGTAGCTTTGGTGTTCTTATTGGATTTTTATGGTCAGTACACGGTTACAGAGAAGACGTGTTAGATGTTGCCCTAAATAAACATATGAAATATTGTTAATGAATTCTCAAAAGCAATGGTTAAGTATACATTATTGAAAAGGATTTAATTTTTAAACATTTATTACACATATTACGATAAAAAATCAGTATTAAAATTTAACGATATATTTTTTTTTGTTTGATTACATAGTAAGTGTCATAAGGGTGGCACCTTCTTAATATGTGAAAACTTACATGATATCACGTGAATGTGCAATCTAAATCTCTAATCTATTAGTGAATCATGCGCAGTAATTAAGATCATTTATAGGAGAAGACCACTGTGAATAGAACAATTGTTGTATTTTAATTTTGATTGAAACCATCCTAAACTAAAAGGGTAATTGACTTGCTTCACAACCCCGAAAACCTTAACACATAATCCTAAAAAGGTATTTCCTTCTTTTCTTACGGTATAAAGGATCCTGAATATTTGAATTAAAAAAATGTCAACGATGCACACACATGCATCTAGTAAAGCTCCATGCATGGGGTGGCTGGCAAAATTATTTTGAATATGAGACACCATGATGGAATCCGTTGTATCCAAATTTAACTTTTAATCACTTAGCCAATAATTAGAGATTTTAAAAAAGAATGCTTTGGCTAAGATATCAAATTGTTTTGATCATTGAGTCCCCTTTCGAGCCATCACTTTTGCTGTTAGATGCAAATCCATTACACCCATCTATCGAGACCAAACAAAGGTAACATGTGTTGCACAACAAAAGTTAAAACATAGAAAAGTACCTAACATGTAAAGCGGTCTTTTCGCTTTCATGCTTGCTTTGGACGTAGTTGGCCCAACCCGCACCCAAGAAAACGTTAAGCATGCTTTGCATGTATATGAGCCTAGTGGATCTCCAACGTCGATTCACGGGGCACCATGTGAGACCGACATCATCCAACAGTTGAAATTCACTGGAATTTTGTGCATCCGGTTCATGCATGTGTGGCTTGGATCCACACTAAAACCACCGGGCCCAACTCCGGGTGACCCTCATAATGTCTCGCAGGAAGACAATGCGAGAGAGAAAGCAAAGAAAGGAGAGATTGTGGGATTCTGTGTTGATCATTCCGGAGGAGGACCTTTCCCAATGACGTGAATCGGCACCCAAAAAAAGATGATGATGACTTTCGCAATACCGTGGATATCTATTTATGATTATATGTCAATGAGCTCTTGTCGAGTTATACTACTTCTATGGGTTTTATATTGTTTGAATCTTGGAAAACTGAAAATGCTAGATTAATTTAGTATAGTTGCATGTCTATAATAGAGTGGACAGTTATAATCCTCAAATCAAGAATGGATGAGACTGCTTTTGTAAAACTTTTTTTTATACTGGCGGTGTATAATCTAAATTTCCAAAAATAAATAGTGAGCTATATGAAGGGCAATATAAAGAAATACAATACAAAATAAAGAACCAATATAAAAAGGATTATTATTCAATTGCCGGTGCAAAAGACAGTTTACGTATGAAGGGCAATGCGCCCATAGTCATTGTCCTAGTGAAAAGGATGGTCACAGTACAGTGAAGATTGATACAATTACACAGCTATGATATTGAGGCTGCATACCGAACTTTGCGCTATCTTGTATCTAAGGATAAACAAGCGTATATAGTGTAAAAAATTCAATATGTATAAAGAAATCCTACTAAAACTTTTTTTCATAAGTGATATGAAAGTTTCAGTTGAGCGTTCAAACAAGTTGGATCCACTCTTTGAATGACTGGCTTGTTTAAGAAACTAATAAAAAAATTGCCATATTATTTATTATAAAATTTTTAATATGATTTCTTAGTACATATAGCATTACTCATATAGGAATAGTTTTATCAAAAAATGCAAGACGAAGTAAAATGAACAAAAGGAGTTATCACAATTTGGCTAGGGATTACTTCTTAGTATTTTCTGACCTCTCGAGACACCCTGATGACATGTTTGAAGCTTTCTAGTTGCTTCTCGACCTTAGGAAACCTTAATTCGTTTGTTGCATATGTTCGACTATGCCATGATATAGGATTATCTCGATTATACTCTCACGTATTATGGTAAGCGTCAGGTGACAGGTTTGCTCAAATTAGCAGCATTTCAAACGGAGCATTATATTGTGTGTATGGATCTCTTAAGGTAATGCTTAGAGGGAGTCATCAATGCTGGTAACCCTTTCCTCCCATTTTATTTGTCAAATAATATTATGACACTAATGTTATTATGATGAACAACAATAATTTTTTTTTTGCACGAGTATCCTTGTTGTAAATATACATAATTGCAAGATAATAGAAAATATAGAGTATTTATAGCATATACAGATAGTGTAAACAAAATTTTATACAAGCAGCTGCATATACCATTTATTTGAAAGAGTTGGTAGTTATAATCTTCAAATCGTGAATGGGTGAGGCTGCTTATGTAAAATTTCCTATATATTGGTGATGTATGACATGTTTTTTTGGAAAAGATATGGTGAACTATGCTTGCTAGAAATGTCGTATGTAATTGCTGGATAATTAAATGAAGACACTTTGTCTTGGGTCTCGTACTTTCAGCGATTATCGACCTCAAGAATGTATGATGCCGCATAATTTTGTGAAGTAACTTTTGATAAATAAAGGTTTAATATCACGAAAAACCGCAAACTGGTACATTTATGATAAATTTATCCCAAATTAATTTTTTGACCACAAAAAACCCTAAACAGGTACACTTGTGACAATTTTACCTTCCGCTAGTTTTTGTTAAATTTTACTGTCAAATTTCTAAGTTGGATGACACGTAATTATTGATGGATGTACAAGTTTGGGGTTTTACTATCCGTTTGTCATATGTGTATCGGTTTATGATTTTTCGTGATATTAATCCAATTTAACGGATGGTAAATTTGTCACAGGTGTACTAGTTTGAGATTTTTAGTGATCAAAAAATTAGTTTGGGGTAAATTTGTCATAGATGTATCAGTTTGGGGTTTTTTGTAATAAAAAAATTAGTTTGAGATAAATTTATTATAAATATACCAGTTTGAAATTTTTCGTAATATTAATTTATAAATAAATTGTTGGCACGTTAATAGTAGTTTAAATATTTCGGAAAAACAGGAAGTTTAATGCTCCTCTTGTGATGCTTCAAGCATGGCCGAAGGAACCCCCTCACTCACTGTGCGACTATCACGAGAAATACACTGGACTTAAGTCGGTCAATACACTGGAAGACGGATGCTTCACGAGAAATAAATTGTGCGGCTTCATGCTCCTCTGTGCTGCCGCTGGCTCCTCTTACCTGTTTTTGTAAATCTAGTTTTACTGCCGATGCTTCAGCTGGACTTAAGTCGGTCAATACACTGGAAGACGGAGTCATCGATACTGACCCGCGGGAAAGTCATTGCTGGCTTTTCCCGCAAGCCATGTTTTCATTTGTACAAGTTGTGAATTTTTTTTATATGCAAACTGACATAAGTTTAAATATAAGTGATGTTTATATACACTTTCATTTGCACTCAAAATGACACATTCTAAAGCCATGATT